GCTGCTGCCACTGGCTGCTTTTTCCAGTTCTTCAGTTGGGTCCTTTCTCTGTGAGATGATCCCACTGGGAAAATAAGTGGTTTTATTTATTTTTGGTGTGTAGTGTGGTACTACTGTCCATGTTAAAACCTTCCCTGGGAAGCCTAGGATGTGGGTGAAGGGGTGTTCACAGGGCAGGGATGGCAGCCTGGCCTATTTCTTGTCATGAGTTGCTCTTACCTTCTTTAAATACTGCAATGTAATTTTGCTTAGGCTGTGCTTTAATAAGAACACTAAAAAAGTAATAAGCTGACTTATCCAGAGAGGAAGAATGGCAAATCTTCACAGGAGTGAAAGGGAAGTGTAATGGCATTTGGGATTTGTACTCGAGTCCAGAGGTAACAGCAGGGAGCAGACACAAATGCTGAATTTCTGCATGGGTGGCACCTTCAGTGCAGCCATGAAGGCTTGCACCATGCAGCTGGGAACAGAAGGGAGATTCCCAGCTTCCCTGCAAGGCAGGTGGCTGTTCCTCCTCCTATCCTATAGAGGAGTAAAGAGAGGCTTTGCCTGAGCTGTAGAGTTTGTCATCCTACATGGATGCTGCTGCACTCTACAAGGTTGTAACCACCTACTTTAGGCAAAAGCTTCAGTTTTCCCCTGCTTGGAATCAGGTTAGATTTTACCAGCTTGCACACTGTGTTATGTTTTCACAGCATGCCAGTTTACTGTCCTGAGGTGACCCCATTTATTTTGAGAGCTGAATGGATCAAAGCCTGTGACTGCAGTAGCTGAAGGCTGAAAGTAGCTAAGCAAGACTCATCTGGAGCCTGGAAATAAAAATACAGGAGTTTCTAGAAACTGTTGTGACATCAGGTATGGGATAGTTCTTGAGACATTCTCTTCTCAGAGAACGATGACTATGAGCTGTTTGTGACACTGCAGCTCTCTAGTATCTGCATAACTTCTATTTGGAAATCATCAGTCATTTTAAGCCATTCTCTGCAAGGATGTCAGTTACCTTTTGCTTCACAGAGCTTATTTCCAATATACACATACATTTTAGAACATGTATTTATCCTTTTCCCCTGCACAACTATTAAGATTTTATGTGAATGTTTAAAGGGAAGATGGTTTTTTTTTAAGCTGTAATGCTGTACAAGGATATAACCCCACAGAATTACTTGAACTGAAAAGCAGCCTTGGCACATTCTAGGTGTGCAGCACTGTGACTTAAGTCACTCAAAAACTGAAAACATTTGCATTGGTAATTTTTAACCTGGCCTGTGTAACACACCTGGGAAATCAAAGCCAGAAGCCTCTCCACTGTCTGTACAGCAAAGGTGGGCAGCTGAGCTGGGGCAGTGGTGCCTCACAGGGCTGTGAGCAGTGCTGTGGAGCAGTTTGTACACAGATTTCTGGGATTTAACTTTAACTTCTTGGCTTAACCTGCCTGCTACAGACACAACAAAGGGCAGGCTCACTGGAGCAAAGAGGCTGTTGCTGAGATATACCAACCAAAATCTAATGTGCTCAGACATTTTGTGTCTGGATTAAGAAGTAGGTTCTTGCCCCAAAGAGTTTATAATACAACCTGATGGTGACAGGCAGAGCGGCCTTGGAGATGAAGGAATTTGTAGCACCAACAGCAAGATCCTTCCTGCATCCTACCCTTTGGCTCATACTGATTCTCTCAGAGTGGCCTCTTCTAGAAAGACCAGAATCCTTGTCTGAAAGCACTGGTTTTGCACAGCTCAGCTGCCTTACACAGCACTGTTGGCAGTCTTAACAAAACCCCACAGCTTATCTTCAGTGATGATGAAAGGGCTTAATATTCTGCTTTCTAGATCAATGCCATACCCCCTGTGGGAGAAAAGGAACAGCTGATAAGCTGGCATCCCCCATGGGAAGCTGGAGGAGGAAGGAAATTTTGACTGAAGCTGAAGCTGTGGTGGAAACCCCCGTGCCCTCTGGTACGTAGTGTGGTGCTGAACACAACAGTAGGTGTGCAACTGCTGTGGCTGCACGGGTGAATTCACCTGCATGAACCCAGCTTGTATGGCAGTGGGAGTAACTGCATGTAGGCTTCAAGTGGTACAACTATGGGAACAGACTGTGAACTGCACAAAGTAAGAGGGAGTTTAGTTTTAAAATGATGTTGCACAGAGACTTCATCTTTGCCCCATTTTTCTTTGCTCGGGTGAATTCACCTGCATGAACCCAGCTTGTATGGCAGTGGGAGTAACTGCATGTAGGCTTCAAGTGGTACAACTATGGGAACAGACTGTGAACTGCACAAAGTAAGAGGGAGTTTAGTTTTAAAATGATTTGCACAGAGACTTCATCTTTGCCCCATTTTTCTTTGCTCATTTGTAGGCTCTCGGAAGCACAGATGTCTCTTACATGTCTGGACAATGCCTAGGTGATCTAACCTGCAACACTCTGACCTGGTAAGCTCCCCAGACGGGAAGTAATTGTTATTAGTTCTTTGCTGACTGAATGATATACCTCTTATAGCACTGTAGCTCCTCTTGCACCACAAGGAGCTGAGCTTTCAGCTGGTTCCGCTCTTGCAAGACATCCCGCAGCTCCTGGAGGGTGAACCGGGGCCGGTTGGGATCCGTGAGGTCTATCACCATCTGATCTGGTCCAAGGCTGAGCTGCAGGATAAATGGTGGTGGTCATGACCTTGTCACCTCTCAAACACAGGGCACACAGAGTAAAAACTCTGATTTTTATTAATATGTTGTAATTCTTAGTACTAGTATGAGTTTACCACAATCCTGATTATTTTTTTTTCCAAGCAGTTGCTGTTTTGAATATTATTTTTAAATTCCCTTGGTGCCTGTATTGCCCAGCCAAGTATGGGGCCCAACTGTGACAGGCTCTGACCCCAGCTAAAAGCACATCCCAAGGAGTTAGCAATCTAGTTTGCCAAGAAGCTGCTTCTATCTGCTGTTCTGATGATGAGAGAAGCTGAACTGTCTGCTTTCTTATTTTAAGACCTTTGTGGTCACAGCTTTTTCAGTCAGTTTCCCTTGCGTAGAGTAACAAAGCTTTCGCTTTTGCATAAACGGAAACTGATGGGGCCAGTGCTGTGCAGGAGCTGTGCACGGTGGATTTGTACCCTGTGGAACTCTCCACTCTGGAAATGGGTTCAAAGCTGCCTACAAAGATGAGACGCAAACTTTCTGAGACTCCTGCAATAGCAGAGAGAGGCGATTGCGGCAGAAGGGCCCTCGGTCCCAGCTAGTGTAGGGTGGGTTTCACAACCCACACGTGGCCAAGGAGACGGGCCACCCTCCCTTGGCGATGAAGCCTCCGGTGCATGTGCCACCTCGCAGGCGCTGAACCCGCGGCCGAGCCGCCCCGGCACCCACCTGCGGGGTGCTCTCCTGGGCCCCTCGTCCCCGCAGCGTCTCCACCTCCCGCCGCAGGCTGTCCCGCTCCATCCGCAGCTGCTCCTCGGCCAGGCTGTTCTCGCTCACCAGCGCTTCCAGCATTTCCAGCACCCTCACGATCCTGAACTGCAGCCGGGACAGGGCGGCGGGCACGTGTGGCCCGGCGCTGAGCTGCAGCAGGTCCCGGCCCACCACGGAGGAGATATCATAGACATCCCCGGCCGTCAG